TAATATAATATAATATAATATAATATAATATAATAAATATAATATAATATAATATAATATAATTAATATAATATAATATATAGGATTAAGAATGGAATAGGGATAGGAATGGAATAGGAATGGAATAGGAATGGAATAGAAATGGAATAGAAATGGAATAGGAATATAATAGAATGGAATGGGAATAGAATAGAATCAATAGAATAGAATAGGAATGGAATAGAATACAATAGAATGGAATAGGATTGGAACGGAACAGAACAGAATAGAATTCTTTATTGGCCAAGTATGATTGGACACACAAGGAATTTGTCTTTGGTGTGTAGGCTCTCAGTGTACATAAAGAAAAAATAGATTACATTCATCAATCATAAGATAATAAAAGACAGTCATAAGATATAACAGTGATAGTGATAAGTCACTAATAAGCAATCAAATCGTACTAGGAAACAAATAAAGCAATGCCCACTGAGCAGCCCTGTCCCGCGTCTAGCACAAACTGGATTTTTTTCTAGAAGCTGCTGGAGCACAAAAGTGTCTCGCTTGGTTTGCCCTTCAAGGCACATTAAGGAGAAAGCGGTGCTGGCACGAATTTTACTTTTTCCTTCTAGGCGCCTCTGGAGCCGCCGCCGGCTTTCCAGACTTGTTTGGAAACCTCTTACACGCCGTTGCGTCATAAAAACAACCAAGGTCATGCTGCTTAACCACTTGAAGGGGGCGGGGCCTACGGGGACTATAAAAGGCGGCACCGGGCTGTCAGGCCAGCCAGAAATAGACAGAGCGAGCGCGGGGAAAGTCGCTTTATTTGGGAAGCTCCTGCTGCGCTGCCAACCATGGCGAGCTACTCTCGCGTCCTGCTTCGGATGCTCCCTCTGCGGCGTTGGCCTCTGCCCGGGCTGGGCCCCGTCTGGCTGAGCGAGCCGCAGTCGGCAGGCAGGTGCCTCTGGCCGTCCGGCCCCAGCTTCGTGGACCGCGTGATGGGCGACATGGAGAGGCAATTCCAAGAGATGGAGAAGATGAGCCGCGCCTTCTTCCAGGCGGCGCCGCTGCCCTTGATGGGGGAGCGCGAAAGCCACAAGGAAGCCTCGGAGGAGAACGCCGGCCCGGCCGAGGTGGACAGAAGAAAGCATTACCGCGTCTCGGTGGACGTGGCCGGCTTTACCCCCGAGGAGATGACGGTGAACCTGGAGGGGAGGAAAGTGACGGTGACCGCCAAGCGCCAACGGGAGAGCCAGAGCAAAGAGAGCGGCTACTGGGTGGAGCACCAAGAGCTGCGCCGGGAGACGCTCCTGCCTCCAGATGTGGACCTTCAGGCCATCGCTTGCTCCCTCAACCCGGATGGGCAGCTGTGCATCGAGGCCCCGCGGCTGGCTTCGGACGAGTCCCCGCAACACACCATCCCCATCGACGTGAAAGCAGCCGATCCGCGTCCGGGCGAGGAGGACAAGCCCAAGGAGCGCTGATCGTGTGGATAATGATGCTCCTGCCGCGCACATAGAATCGCCCTATGAAAATGAGCAGGCTCGGCTTCCTAACTTTAGAAAAGGCTCTGCGGCCTTGACTCTCTCCTCTTTCCTTGTCTACAATAAAGCTTCTTTCAATGTACCCGTGGACGTATTATTCTGAATGTTGTGTTCTGTGGGTCTGACAGCAACTGGGATAAACTTAAGAGGATCTGCTTGGGAAAAAAGACTGTGTAAAGGGAAGAAATGGGTGGAGACTGAGGTTGTGGTTCTACTGTACAAGGTTGAATTCTTAAATGATGGTAAAAGTCTGACTGACTAAAATGTGGGTGTTCTGTATGACACCAAAGTGGACATTGTGCTTTTTATTTTAAAAGAATAAAGTTACATTTATTTTTAAAAATATCTTGACTGCCTGAAACCAGATTCTTAAGTGGCTTACAGAGTATTAAAAAAGAGGGAACAGGTTAAAAGGTTAAAGCGTTTAAAATAGTAACTAAGAATACGAAACTGGGATTGTAGTAAGTGGCATCACTGCAATTAATTTGCAAGGACCCTTTGGGGGTGGGGGGGGGTGGGGGAAACAAATCCATTTTTACCTGGAAGGCTGTGAGGATGGGAAGAAGCTAATACGAAAGTTGTGCTGGCTCTTTGGAACCTGGCATTATTCTGAATGGGAAAGTTGGTGACTTGTTCAAACTTCACAAAGGGGTTACTGCAGAGGTAGTACGGGCTATGTTAACAGTTTGGTATGTCAGTGGTCTTTTGATACTATCCATGGGGTTTTCTTGACAAGGATAAAGGAGTAGGTTGCCAGGAAAGGAGGACAGAAGATGAGATGGTTAGATAATGTCATCAGCACAATGAATTTGGGGCAAACTCTGAGCCAGTGGTGGACGGTGGGCTGGGGTGAAATAGTCTATGGCAGAGGTGTCAAACTCAAATTTCATTGAAGGCCACATCGGGGTTATGTTTGACCTCTGAGGGCCAGGATAGGCGTGGGGATGTCAAACTTGCGGCCTGCAAGCCGGATGCATCACATGATGGCCCTGCCCCCGCCCGGTTTAGCGAAGGGGGGGGGGGAAATCCCCATACGTTACATGATGATGCCGGGACGACATAAATTTGACACCCCTGACCTAGAGTTTACAAATACCGTGTTTCCCCGAAAATAAGGGTCTTATTTTCTTTTTACCCACAAAATATGACTTGGGCCTTATTATGAGAAGAGGGTTTATTGTTTTGGGGTTGCTGGGCGGCTGCTCTCTTCCGAGCGGGTTCCCAAAGAGCTGGGCACAGCCTCATGGGCGAATGGCTGTGTTGCGCTGTCGCAGCAGCGCAACACAGCAGCCATGAAGCAACCACGCTCATGAGCAGCGGAGGTGCTCTGGCTCTGCGGGGAGAGCTGGGCCAGGGCATTGTGAGTCTGGGAGGTGTGCAAGCGAGAGCAGAACAGCCGCTCGTGCAACCCCCCTCTCCAGCCATGCAGAGCGCCACTCAATGCCATTTCGAAGGTGCCAAGCCACAGGAGCCGGGAGGCGGCGAACAGGTGCTCACGTGGCTTGGCGATACCCCTAGGTCAGTGAATGGCGCTGTGCCTGGCTGGAAAGGGGGTTTGCCGGGTGGCTGCTTGTGAACGTGGTCACTTCATGGCTGCTGTGTTTCGCTGCTGCGACAGCGCAACACAGCCATTTGCCCATGAGGCCTGTGCCCGGCTCTTTGGGAACCCGCTCGGAAAAGAGCAGCCGCCTGGCAACCCCCCTCATCAGCAGGGCACAGCGCTGCTCACCAACCTAGCGGTATCCCGAAGGTACCAAGCAACGCGATCACCTTTGCCTCCCCCCCCCCCGGTTCCTGTGGCTTGGTACCTTCGGGATACCGCTAGGTTGGTGAGCAGCGCTCTGCCTGGCCGGAGGTGGGGAGTTGTCCAGGGGGCTTATTTGCGGGGGAGGGCTTATATTTTTGCCCACCAGAAAAATGTGGCATGGCTTTATTATCAGGACATTTCCTATTTTCGGGGAAACACGGTAGACTTACTTGACTTACAACCACACTTGGGACCAGAACTTTAATTGCTAAGTAAGATGGTTGCTGAGTGAGTTGCGACTGATTTTGCAACCTCTTGCCACAACCGAGAAGCAAATCGCTGTCATTAAGTGAACCATGCTGTCCCAAAGCAAATCTGGCTCCCCCCATTGACTTTGCCAGAAACCCAGCTGGGAAAGTCATAAATGATGATCGCGTGACTCCAGGATGTGGCTAGCATTGTAAATTAACAGATTGACAGCGTTGGACGGGACCTTGTAGGTCATCTAGTCCAACACCAATAGGTGTTGGACTAGAAAGGCCCGTGGGCCAGATCCGGCCTGCGGGCCTCGAGTTTAACATCCCAGTTCTAGGTGGTGTGTTTAGCTTAAAGAGCCCTCTGGGAACTTTTGTGTAGGTTTGTTTAATGTTGCGATACTGCCAAGAATAACGCATAGGTGGAATTTATCTTTAGGTTGCAGTGTTGACCGTTCATGTGGTTCTGATAATATAATTTCAAAGGAATGTTTGCTCTCTTAGCAATGTGAGAGTGAGATGGGTGGTATATAAATCTGACAAAAAAAATCTAATAAAATTTAAGAGTATACTGAAAAGGGGGATCCAATGGACTAACTCCCCCTGTTTAAATTGCACACTTTGTATTCTGCTTATTTCAAGAAAAGATTGTAAACCAACCCCCCCCCCCCAAGCTGCCCACCAAGATGGGGGTGGGAATGAGTGTAGGCAGGCATGTGAGCACATATATGCCAATGTGTGTGTGTCTGTGTGTCTGTGTGTGTTCCAGAAAAGACATCTTCCCACCCATAGTGGTATTTGAGGGGGCAAAATTGCTTCCGCTTGCTTTGGGCTGCTCTAAATTTATCAGTTGTAACTACTTCATCCCAAAGTGAAACTGAACAACTGCTTCCTTGCTAGTCAGTTTCCTGAGTGGGCTAGAGGCATCTGATCCGGTTGGACACCTACATTTATAGAAATTTTCAGGTGTCTCTGAGGTAGCCTAACTATTGTTGAAAGAAATGTCCTTCTGGGTTCAGCTCCAAGTGGGAAGAAGACACTGGAGACATGGAGGCTGCTTGGAAAGATGGTTTCTTGTTGGGCAGGGCCACATGGCTTGAGCCCTGTACAGAAAAGGTGATCACATGTTTCAATGTTGATGGAGGAGAAGAGAAGGGAAGGGCTGAGGAAGGGGCTTGCTAGGCTTTTATACCGTTTAGTCCCACCTCTGTTTCCTGTTCCTGT